ATCAGCATCTTTGAGAGAGGGACAGACTCCTCTCAGATTAAGAGACAGAACAGACTGGACAAAGGGAGCTGACCTGCGGCGGAGACCTCAGCCATCCCACAGCGAGCTCCGAAGCTGGGATGGCCCTTCAGAGACACGCTCGAATGAGGCAAGCGGGGCTCAGCCCTTGCTGAGATCAGCCACTCACGGGCGAGGAGAGCTGTCTTCAGGGAGAGCGTCCCTCTCAGGCGAGGCCAAGGGCAACTTCTGAGGACAGCACTCCCAGCAGCTCAGGAAGCGCGTGCCTTAGTCCTGACGGTGAGATCTGGGCTGGATGCACACAGACGTTGGGTCTTTCCACCCAGGACCATGGCACAACATTCAGTTTGCTGAAGTGTCTTTTGTATCGCTCAGGAGAATTTAAAAACACCCCTTGTGTGGATTTTGTCAATTCTTTAAGCTTATTTCTCATTAAGTTTTGTGCTGTCAATGTAAATAGGATCATTTCTTCCAATCATTTATCGTCTTTGAAATGTGAAAGCTATTGATTGTTGCATTATAATTTTGTACCCTGATGCCTTACTAACTTCTCTTACTGTTTGGTTTTAGGTTTGGATTCTTGTCTTGGATTTTTCAGTTATATAACCTACAAATAATAACCAATTTTACACTGGTTCTGGGGTTGAGGTGGGCCCATTTTGTCAGGTTAAAGAAACATCCTTGATGACTTTTTAGAAAATATATCCAGAACTGGGCTTTACTGCTTTTTCAGCCTTACCCTAAATCTTCTCAAAGATACCCATAATTGATTTTTTTTTTTTTAACTCAGGACTTCTTCTGATTAACTGCACCAGCAATCATCTCAAAACAATACAATGTAGGAGATGAAGGTGGTCTGATAACTAGGTTCTCATCCTGGTCCTGGCACTGTGGTACAGTGTCTTTCTGGTGAAGGGAAGTATACATGGCCTCAGCCATCTCTGCAGAGGCGGCGGGTAACTCCTGGTTCAGAGTCAGGTCCCAACTGCGTGAAAAGGGTGCAGATGCTGGAGATGTCCACCAACCCAGCCAACCATCATTTATCCCGTCTTCAATCCCTGATCAGTGAGAAAGGCCAGAATATACTTTCAAGGTCTGAAGTGCTTCCACTAGGAAGCAAAAGATGATCACTAACACTATAGAAGTTCCAAGGCTGCAGCTTGCACAGACCTGCTGTGACCACATGGTATTTGAACAGCACCTACTGATCAACATGAACGGTGTTTTTTATCCACAGAGTTTAGCCAATGTCTCCCTTAGGACAGACATAAGCAGAAGTCTGTTATCAAGTGGTATCTACCCAGAAAGTCAGTTTGTTCAGTGTGCTCTCTGGAGAAGAGCCCTAGGTCAGCAGCGTGTTCACTCACTGGTTTGAGCTATGAGGGAATTCCGCTGGGTCAGAAGCGTCTTCAGTCACCGGTTTGCACTGATGCAGAAATTCCCTATGACACTGGGTGCTTCCACTTTGGGGCTATTGGGAATGGTGCCTCCACGAACATGAATGTACAAGTGTCTCGTTGATATCCTGGTTTTGAATCTTTTGGATGAATGCCCAGAAGTGGAATTGCTGCATCATATGGCAGTTGCATTTTTAACTTCTTGTGGAATCTCCGTACTGTTTTTCATAGTAGTGGCGCAATTTTGCATTCCCACCAACTGTGTCTAAGGGTTTCAGTTTCTCCACATCCTTGCTGACACTTGTCCTTTACTTTTTTGGTAACAAGTATCCTGACAGGTGCGAGGCAGTATCTCATTATGGCTTTGATTTGGACTCCTCTAAGGCCCAGTGACATCCTGCCCTTTTCCGTATTACCAGCTGGCCTTTTTCATGTCTTCTTTGGAGAAATGTCTACTCAAGTCTTCTCCTTTTTAAAATGAGGCTGTCAGTTTCTCTAGTGTTGAGCTGTAGGAGTTTGTTTCATGATTTGGAAAGTGACCCCTTAACAGACATATGATGCGCAGATATTTTCTCCCACTCAGCAGGCTGTATTTTCACTGTTGACTGTTTCCTTTGCCCTTCGGTGGAAGACAGTCTTCAGTGTCCCTAGTTCTCTTTAAAAGAAACTACAATATTCACCCGCTTCCTGCCTGCTTGCAGGTGTGGGGAGAAGTGAGATGAGCTGTCACCCCCAACACACAAGGTCAGGGGCTCCCGATCACAATCACACACGAGGTCAGGGGCACCCGATCACAATCACACACGAGGTCGGGGGCACCCGAACACAATCACACACGAGGTCAGGGGCACCCGATCACAATCACACACGAGGTCGGGAGCACCCGATCACAATCACAGCCTTCTACGACGACACAAATGCTGCTGGGCGATTTTGCTTCTGTGAATGCTCAGGTCCAGGTGGCAGGCAGCACCTTTTTTAGAACTGACATTCTCACATGTCTAACTCAACAGAACTGCTATAACTGCTAAATTTTTAGAGGTAACTGTTAAGTTAGCACTGGACTCATACACACAGATGAGATTTAACGCAGCACGTTTGCACTGGGAACTGTGAGGGCTCCCAGCAGGGCATTCTGTCTCATCTGTGTTGTGCCCTGTCTGAGTGGAGTGACTGTAATTTACTGTCCAAACCAAGACACTTTTAAGACAAAGGAAGCAAGAACCATGCTGGAACAGCATCTGAAAACAAGGGTGGTGAAGCCTCTGTCTTCAGAGTGAACTCCAATGTATCTTACAGAATAGTGTGGGGAATTAATCTTCACTGGGAAAGTGAAAACCAAAGACTGTCATCAACGGCCTCCTCCTTCCCTGTGCTCCCCAAGAACGGTGTGCTGGGTGGGTGTCTGCTGGGCCCCAGGTCGGGTGCCGGTGGCAGAAGAGAGGCACTGCTCCTGCTGGTGACCTTTGCGTGGGGCAAGGATGAGAAGGCAGCTCTGTCCACAGAAAGCACATCAAGATGCCAGCCAGCAGGTGCTGGGGGTGCCTGCCCTAGAGGAAGAGGCTTGGGGCACCCCAAGGCCTGGGATCAGGGTCCATGAAAGTTGCATGCCCAGGCCTGGAGCATGGCCCAGTGCCTGATCCAGGGCAGCTCTTCCTGCTGGGGGAGTGAGACAAGCCCCCACTTTGGGGAGAGGGGCCCCCACATGACCCAGAACAAGTTCTTGGGCCTGCTCTCAGAGGACTCTCTTCATTTCAGAACAAGTTTACAGTCAGAAATGCAAGAGAGAAGGTGAAGGGGAGCAAAGAGAAACGGACGGAAGGGGTGGGGAGGTGTTCCAGAACTGGTCAGGACTCAGTCGGGGTTCCTGTTGCCCCTTCAGCAATGAACAGTGGATCCCTAGGAGTTCCCAAGAGGTCTAGTGGTTAGGACTCTGGCTTTCACAGATGTGGCCTGGGTTTGTGGCCTGGGTTTGAGGCCTGGTTGGGGAACAAAAATCCTGCAAGCCTCACAGCGAAGCCAACAAAATAACACAGTGAAACCCGGCACATCAGGCAGGAAGACACTTATGGGAGGGGCCTACAGAGGGTGCAAAATTGAGAGCAATTCTAGAGAACCAGGTGGGGAGGAGGAAAGCCCCCCAGGCCCAGCGTGTAAATAGGTTTCCCAAGCCTCCATGCTGCAACGTACACGTCAACAACTGCGTTTTGGTCACTCTGTTCTCACCGTGCTCCCGCTGCAAACTGCACAAGCCTCCTGTTGGCCTACTTGGGCCACGTGCCCGCCACTGGTTAAAATGATTTTGACAGTAGCCCTGCCTGATCGAAGCCAAGGAGAGAAGAAACAAAGGAACACCTCGTTTCAACGGAAAAGTCCTGCTAATTGTCAAAAAAAGAGAAAAGGTCCTAGCAATCCGTGCTTTAGGAGCTCCGCCTCAATGGGTGGAAGGAACCCGGCCTCCCTCTAGCAAGTGCAGGGGAAGCTGCAGCGGACAGAGACGCGGGTGAGCGCCGGAGGAAGCTGAGGGACCTGCGGATGGTGGGCACCCGGGCAGGGAGGGCCGCCCCGAGCGCGGAATCCGTCCTGGGCTCCCATGGAGCAGCGGCTCCGGATTCCTCTCCCACTTCCACCCTCTCCTTAGGGCTACCCCTCCTCCTGCTTCCCTGAGGTTCACGGGCCGGGCCTTTCCTCCTCCCACCGCGCCACGGCCAGGCCAGCACGCGAGCGTCCCACACAAACACACACCAGCACACGAGCGTCCCCACCCCCCACACACACACTCCAGCATGCAAGCGTCCCACCCCACCACAGACACACGCCAGCACGTGAGCATCCCACCCCCCAACACACACACAGGTTAAAGGCTTGGCCCACGTAGTGTCCATCCTTGTACGGAGGTCTGTCTCAGCTAAGGCAGTAAGGCCCTGGGTGCCCCGAGGAGGGAGGGATAGACGGGGGGAACTGAGGGGAGGCTTTACTGCAGGGACCGGGAACCTCCTGCCCCCTGCTCAGCCTCCGGAAAGCTCTTATATGCGATTGCCGTTCAGCCCTTAAGTCTGCTCAGTTCTGCTAATCAGTTAGTGCAGGACGGAAGGGCACACACGGTTAGGCCGAGGCCGGAGCACGCAGTGTCTGCCGAGGAGCACATGGCACCTAAAGTCACCAGTGACGCGAGGCCGTGGCGATGCTGTGCTGGCCACAGGGACAGCCGGTGGGGGAGATTGAACACGCCTGCAACGGTGTTCAGACTGCTATGGAGCGGCTGATGCTGTAGGAACCCCCGACGCCGGGACTCCTTGCAGGGTTTCCCACTCTCTGTCCACTGGGACTGCCCTGGACTGCAGAGCAAGCCCCTCTCGTCTCCTTTCTTGCAGGTCCCCAGTCTTCATGGGTCTTTCACACTCGTCTAGCTATCTTGGCACAGTCCACGTCCTGTTAATCAGCTCAGATAGGGATGATGATCAAGCGAGGATCTCGGTGTGATGGGATGACCGCAGCCTTGCAGACGGCCTCTCTGCCGCCGTGGGGAGCAGCTCGTCCTCCCAGCACCGCCTCTCTTTGGGTGCTCTGTGGACTCGTCCCCACCTACCCCAGTCCATCCTCCGCCCTCTGCTCCCCACACCACGCAGACAGCGGGAGGCTGACCGTGCTCGACAGCAGGTGAGTGGATGGTAATCGGCTGCTTCCTCTCTGCATCGCTGAGGGCTGCTGTCAGCGGGCAGCAGTGTCGGCACCTGGGCGGGGCGGGGCCGGGCCTGCCTCGGTCCTGGGGGTTTCGGACACCACTCCATCCCCTTGGAGGCCTGCAGGTGGAACTGCTTCCTGCTGTCGCCCATCCTGGGGGAATTTCACCCTCCCCTTTGGCTCTCGTTTTTGTGGAGTGCATGAGTTACGTTTTCTTCTGTGCTGTTGCTCTATCTGGGACCTCAGGGACACGAGCATCACTGCTTCTCCACCCAAGATGGTCCTGGGAGAACACAATCATGGTGCCTTCCACCCACATGACTCAGGCTGGTACTGCCAACCCCCCCATTGTGTAACTGGCTCCAGGTGGCAAGCGACCCCACCAGGGCCAGCGGAGCCTTGCTTGCAGTCTGGGCGTGCTCCCCATAGGAAGAGGGACTGTCTCCTGGTGGGAGTCCACTGGCTCTGCCTGTGGTCAGCTTCCCCACCCTGTGGAGCACGTCCGCCTGAGAACAAAGCTGTGACTAGGAGGGCCCAGAGACGACGAGACACATCTGCGACATCGTGTAAGTGAGTGTCCCCACACCTGCTGGACGCCAGCCCCACCATCACTGCCACCTGGAGCCAGGCTCGCAGCTCTCCTGGTCCAGGCCTCGCCGTCCGCTGGGATTGCTCCCTCCTGATTCAGCGGCTGCAGCACAGTCCTGCAAGGATTCGTCCTCCCTGGCCCCAAGCCTTTGTGACCCGGCTCTCCAGGGTGTGTGTTTCAGGGAGAGAAATAGACGTGAAAGGATCAACATTGTCTTCCTAAAGCAGGAGGAGGCCAGCAGGGCTCTTGCTCCTCCCAGGGCAGCTACTGTGGGTTTTTTTTTTTGCCATGTTCCGACCAGAAGAATTTTCACCAGGATGTTAAACAGCTCCTAGCCGGGGAGCTGTCTCACCTCTCTCCCCTGCCCTCCCTCTGATCCAGACTGAGCTGGATGTGTCCATCCTCACCTGCCTTCCCCAAATCAGAAGTGACTGCGCCGCTGCCGTGATGTTCATTGTCTTGGGCAGTGACAGATGATGTTGCATTTTCAGAGAAAATTAAGTCATCAACTCCCAGGCAGCCCTGACATCATCAAAACATGTCCAGGCTGGAGAGCCACGGGCCCTCAACTGACTGTTGGAAATAATGGGCCAAAGGCAGGCAATTATGTGTTGACATCGGGCTCGGCCGCCGCGAAGAGGTGCGGAGTTGTAATTCCTGCCCGTGGGTCATATCAAGATTTGGAACCAGAGCCCAATTTGAAATAACAGAAACTCAAAAGAATTGATTAGACGGGGTGTCATTTGGGGTGCCTCTCTCTGAACTGCCCACAAATCCCTGCAGGTTATAATCTAATGCACAATAATTACACCCACTTGCAGGCGGCCGTGGGGTGGACGGCGGGTGGGTGACGGACGCTTGCAGCCCCGTCTGGACTCCCCCCGCCGCCCGTGAGACCTCTGCTTCCCCTGTGCTTTCAGTGCTGGGGCACCGCGCGCGGCAGCCGCTGGCACAGGTAGAGGCCCTCCGTAATTAAGGCAGGTGATTATAAGCAGAGGTGCCCCCTGGCCTCCCCTAGAGGCACGTCACGGAGGAGACAGCAGAGGTCTGGCTCCTGGGCATCGGTCCCAGAATCCCGGGCAGGCCCAGGGAAACAGACAAGGCTGAGGGCAAAGCCGGGCCCTTGGGGCCCAGCAGGGCTTGGGCTGGCTTCAGCCCAGAAGGAGGGAGGGCAGAGGTCAGGAAGAGCCAGCCTGGCTTGCCAGAACCGCGGCAGACCTTAACCTGAACCCCTTTCGGGGGTGGGGGGGGAGGCGCAGGGATTGTGCACATTTCCCTCGTGCGCGCGCACGCACATGCTCAGTCCTGTCTCTGCAAACCCAAGGCCTGTAGCCCACCAGGCTCCTCTATCCATTTGGAGTCTCCAGGCAAGGATACTGGAGTGGGTAGCCATGCCCTCCTCCAGGAGATCTTCCCAACCCAGGTCTCCTGCATTGGCAGGTAGGTTCTTTCCCACTACGCCACCTTCAGCAGAAAGATTTTGTGAAACTCACCCACACTGTGTTGCATGTCAGGACTTCACCCATTTGCATTCCTGTGTGGGAGTCCATTGCATGGATGTACCATCATTTATTTACCCATGTAATGCCTGTAATGTCTGCTGCTGTTACAGACATTCATTTATTTCTGCTTGGGCTTATGGGGGATGCTGCTGAGGTGACATTTTTATTTGTGTCTTTTGGTGCGTAAGAGTGAGCTTCCCTGTTGGGTATATACCTGGGAGTGAAACTTCTGGGAGAGAGGATATGTGTGTATATCCTGCCAGACAATTTTCTGAAGTGATTGTACCAGTTCACGCCCACTAATGTGCGTGCATGCATGCTAAGTCGCTTCAGTCATGTACGACTCTTTGCGACCCCATGGACTGTAGCCCGCCAGGCTCCTCTGTCTATGGGATTCTCCAGGCAAGAACACTGCAGTGGGTTGCCATGCATGCATATTCTAAAGTCTTCATGTTGGTGCTAATGCTTGTCCTGTCTTTTTTCATTTTGTCATCCTTTTGGGTGGGAATTTAATTGTTGTGGTTTTCATTTGTTCTTCTTTGATGACTAACAAAGTTGACCACTTTTTCATGTATGTTGGCCATTCACCCTCTTTTGTAAAGTTCCTATTTTTCTAATATATATTGGTTTAGCTGTCATTTCCTTCTTGATTTATGAATTGCTAAAAAATATATTTTCAGTATCAGTTCTTTTCGCATTACATATATCTCCCTCACTTTGCGGCTTGCCTTTTTATTCTCTCTTAATAGTATCTCTTTATGACTATTATAGAAGTTTCTAGTTTTAATATAGTTCAATTTGTCATCTTTCTTCTTTATGATCAGTACTTTGTGGGTCTTGTTTAAGAAAAATGTGCCTGTTTCAAAAGCCTGAAGGTATCCTCCTAGGTTTTCTTCTGAAAACCTTATTTTTTTTTTCATATTTTGATCCACTCCTGGAATTGATTTCTCTGAGTGAGTCTTTGTAACATAGGTATCAAGATGCATTTTGCTTTGTATTTGGATATTTATCAATATTTAACTAGCATCATTTATTGAAAAGACTATCCTTTTGGTTAGCATCACTGACTCAATGGAGATGAATCTGAGCAAACTCCAGGAGATAGTGGAGAAGAGAGGAGACTGGCGTGCTGCCATCGATGGGATCACAAAGAGCCGGACACGACTTAACTACAGAACCACAACAACAATCCTTTCACCACTGTGTAGTGGGCTCTCTGGCTCACAGAGGTGACCACATATACACGTGCCCATGGCAGACACTTCACCCAGCAAGAGGGGGGGGCTCTGTCCCTGTTTCCCTCCCCTTGACTCCGAACAGGCCTTGTGACCCATCCTGACCAGGGAATATGGTGGGCCCAGCTGTGCCAGTTGTGGGTTCAGCCCTGAGACACCTGGCACATCTACCCTCATGCCAGGGGAGGCCAGCTGCTGTGTAGAGTCTGACTGCTGAGACCACCATGCTGGAAGAGCGCTCAGGCGAGCCACTCGGAGACCACTGCGGGGGAATGGATGCCCGTGGCCAAGGTCAAGAGCTCAGGCCTGGACAGATGGCCGCAGTCAGCTGTTCCAGCCAGTTCCATGGAGTCTGGGTCACTCCAGCTGAGCCCCAGTCATTGTGGGGCTCTGGCTGAGATTCCTGACCAGTGAGCGCTGGGGACATCTGCCGCATGGTGATGGGCCTCTGAAATCGCTCTGTGTCCTGGTCTGTGGGCCTAGCTGCCATCCCGTGTCAGCACCACAGCATCTTAACTACTGCCATTCCACATCAGGTCCTGGAATCTGGTTGCACAGGTCCTCCAGCGTTCTTCTTCAAGACTGCCTTGGCCGTTTCTGGTCTTCCACATTTTACAATATGTTTTAGAATTAGTTTGTCAATGTTAAGAAACCCACTGCTAGGGTTTTATTGACACTTCATTGAATTTCAATCCAGATTGGGAGCTATTTGTAATACTGAGTCTTCCATTCTATGAACATGGAGTATGTCTCTAGTCATTAGGTCTTATTTCATTTCAGTGATGGACAGTTTTCGGAGCAGATAGTTAGATTTATTCACAGGTATTTGAAGTTTCAGATGCATGTGTGTGTGTGTTTTACATTTATTCATTACTTTTTGCTAGTATATAAAAACACAATTAATTTTTATACATTAGCCTTGTATTCAGTGACCTTGAAAAGTTTGCTTATGATTGTAATAGACTATAGATTCTTTTGAATCCTCTTCATATAAAATCATGTTATTTGTAAATAATAATATTGTATTTCTTGTATTCCATTTGTATGCTTTTTGTTACCCCTTCTTGCCTTATTGCACTGGCAAGAACCTCTAGCACAATGTTAATAGGAATGGTTATGGTGAGCGGTGAATATCTTTACCTAGTCTCTGATTTCTGAGGGAAAGCTCTCATACTTTTTCATAAGTATTTTGTAAGTATTCTTTATCAGATTAAGGACATTCTCTTTTTTTTCTAATTATAAGAGGTTTTATTTTTAATCATGAAAGGATATTGAACTAGACATTTTGCCATTTCAAACAGCTTTTGATTAGGGTAAGGTTATACAAGAGAGATATAAGCCAGTAATTATCATTAAAAGTGGGTGTTAGGGACCAACAGGAAAGTTGGGGATCAGGAAAGCCCAACAGGCTGGGACTAACAGGATGTCCCACGATTCAAACAGCTGTGTTTCACTTATTCATCCATTCAAAAAGTGTCTACTGGCTGCTAGTCACTAGGATGGGTCTTCCTGGTGGCTCAATGGTAAAGAATCCACCTGCCAATGCAGGAGACACAGGAGACATGGGTTCGATCCCTGGGTCGGGAAGACCCCATGGAGGAGGGCATGGTAACCCACTCTGGTACTCTTGCCTGGAGAATCCCATGGACAGAGGAGCCTGGTGGACTATAGTCTGTGGGGTCACAAAAGAGTCAGACATGAGTTAGCAACTAAACAACAACAAAACAAGTGGCTGGGATACGTTCGTACGTGGTAAGGAATTGACACTTTCCAGAAAAGAGGTCACTGGATTCCCTGCTGGCTCAGTCAGGTCATTGCCCTTGGCGCCTGGGATGTAGTCTCAGAGCCCTTAGAATGTCCTGCCTGCTAGGAGCGCCTGTTTGCCTGGGACCTTGGTCACACTGGACAGTCTGACAACGTCCTTTAGAATGGGGGTTTGGCCAGGTAGTGGTAGTAGATACCCACGGAGACTGGCGACTGAAACTAGCCATGAGGTCAATAAAGTGACCCACGAGGCTCAGTCAGTAAAGAATCCATCTGCCAGTGCAGGAGACCTGGATTCGACCCCTGGGTCGGGAAGATCTCCTGGAGAAGGGAATGGCAACCCACTCCAGTCTTCTTGCCTGGAAACTTCCGTGGACAGAGGGGACCTTGCCAGGCTACAGTCCATGGGGTCGTAGGAGCCGGACACGACTTACTGACTACAGCACCACTGTGTGATGGAGCCCCGTGAAAGCTCTGAAGGCTGCGCGTGGCTGGCTTCCCTGGTGCCCGCTGATGCTGTGAGGGTCGCCCTGCCCCGGGCACACGGAGGACAGCGGGTGCTCTGCGTTTGGGCCTCTCGCGGACTTTTCCTTGGTTGATTTTATCTGCAGCTGCTCCCCGGAACACACGGTAACTGTGGGTGTAGCAGCTTTTATGAGTGCTCTGAGTCCTTCTAGTGAGTTATTACATTTGTGGGTGATTTGGGGAGCCTCAAAATTTATGACTGATGTCAGAAGTGAGGTGTCTTCTGTGGATTGTTCTCTCTAACTGATCAGTTGGCTAACTCTTCACCAACAGTGACAGTATGAGAGTTTCTGCCTTCAGCAGCAGGCGGTCTGGTGGGGACGCGTATCGATCAGGGTCACACTCCCCAAACTGTCCAGACGCGGGCCAACGAAATAAGATTCGAAGGTCTAGTAAATTGCCACATCCCTCGTCTTCCACTTGGAGAATCACATCAATGGTTTCAAACCAAATCCTCTGAAAAATAGGTATTAGAGAAGTTGGTTGATATTTGGGAAAGCTGGCTTTCCCAAAAGTGTCTTTCTCTAACTGTTCTTTCTTTATCTTTCTCAATCTGATACCTGGTAATTTACTGGGGAACAATGTGCTTTGGAAAATGCTGTCCCAGGAGATGATGACAGGTAGTGTGTGCTGGGAGCTTCCCAGGTGGCTCAGTGGTAAAGCATCTGCCTGCAAATGTGGGAGACCCAGTTCCATCCCTGGGTTGGGAAGACCCCTGGAGGAGGGTATGGCAACCCACGCCAGTATTCTTGCCTGGAGACTCCCATGGACAGAGGAGCCTGGCGGGCTGCAGTCCATGGGGCCGCACAGAGTCGGACACGACTGAAGCGAGCAAGCAGCAGCTGGAGCAATGTGTATCGGAGCGCTTCCCATGTGTGCATGCCTTGCAGACGTGACCTCATTCAATCTTTACTACAGCCCTGTAAGCAAGTTGCATCCCTGTTTGACAAATAAGGAAATCAAGCTGCAGCAAGAATAAGTAATTCCTACAGAACCACAGTTTGAAAGGTGGGGCTCAGGTCAGCCTGACCCTGGAGCCCTCTCCTCCACCCAGAAGGGCGGCCGGCTCTCCAGGTGTCCTCGGGGTGGGGAGGAGGGGGAGTTTGTAGGTAGAGGGTCCATGGCTTTATGCAGACATCCTAAATCTTCCTTCCCAAGAATCTTGTAGGGTGGAACGCTGCAGCCATCAGGGTGTGAGGTGCCCTTCCGCAAACGGACATTTTAGGATTGGGGGCAGTACTTTTCCCACTGATAGGATGCTTCCTTTTCAGGGACACTTCTAAAGAGGAGCCATAACTTTTACTCCCTTACTTCTCCCCAAAGGCTGACCAAAATGGCCAGCCTGTGTGTCGTCCAGGGCCGAGCGGTGTGGACCCAGCCCCGGGCGTGGGAGGATGCAGAGGTCGGGGTTTGGGGTGGACAGTCCCCAAGGACAGTCCTTGTCAGCAAGGGCTCGGGGGAGCTTGGAGAGCAGGGCAGGGGCGTCTGCACGGGCGGATGCAGGGCAAGAAGCCTCGAGGGGGATTTTCCATGTGTCTGCTTCACACACAGCTTTCAGTGATTCACTCCATTGTCCCCAGTGGCGTCCACTCCGAGGGAGGAAGCCTGAGCCCTGCAGCGCATGTGACTGCCATGGCACACGCACCTTAAGCTCTCCTCTCATTTCTCCTCTCAGCCTCCTTCTGTAGAAAAAACTGCTGTTGCTAATATTTCACAGGTAAAGACCCAGACTTGGAGGGGACAAACGGCTTGCTCAAGGTCACCCAGACGGTGAGGGGACGTCCGGGCTTGGAAGCAGGCTGCCTCCGGTCTGCTGATGAACGAGCCTGAGGCCCCGGGGCCCCAGGAGGGTCGTGTCATTCTCTGGAATCCCTGGAGTCAGGTTCTATTTTTCCTTTTTCCATCTGTTGGCTCCAGCAGCTTTGGCCATATGGTGACGTCAACTCCTGGGCAGGTTCATTTTCTTCTCAGGAAGGGGTGCTAAGATGCCGGGTGTTGCAAACCGCAGAGGCAAAGGGGAGGGAGACACCTGGGGGGATGCCGCGTGGACACAGAAGCTGAGGAGGGGCACGCTGGGAATCTAGGTGGACACGTGGTGTGCCAAAAAGCAGTGACATCCATGGACTTCCCTTGTGGTCCAGTGGTTAAGACTCTGTGCGTCCACTGCATGGGCAAGGGTTCAATCCTGCATGCCATGGCATGACCAAAAAAAAAAAAAAACAAAACCCTGTCAATTCAGAGATGTCTAGGATGGGGTGATGAAACAGGACTCTGACCAAACTAAGGACCCAGGCTCACGAATCTTTATCCAAAGCTCTTTTCACTAGACACTGGTGCGATCTGCAGGACCAGGACTCGGAGAACCTGTGTAGAGTGAGAACCCCTTGCCTGCAAAGGAGCAGCACACTTGTCAGCCACACTCTTAATTTAGTAGGAAACCGGGACCCTTCTAGCTGCCCACTGCCGGCAGCCCCAGGGGTGCCATCAGCCCGGGTACATTTTTCATACCTTTGAATCCACCTTCCAGGACTCTGGAGCTGGGAATCCAAAGGTCTGGGATGTCCTTACATGGAAAATTGCCATTTTTAATGATTTGTCTGAAACTTATGAAATGGCCATTTTGTAGGTCAGCTTGGTCGCATATGAGAAAGTTCACTTGGGTCCAGTGAATAATGAGAGCGTGAATGGTGGAAGGACGTCTGTGACGTGCGAGGGGACTGGTGGAGCGTGGACGGGCAGGGTCTGGAAGGGCAGCTGCCCTCCGCGGACTCAGGGGCTGCTGGGGTGGGCGCGCCCAGGTACAGAGGTGCGGAGGGTGAAGGCGGGCGTCAGAGCAGCAGAGCTGGTGCTGGGGCTTTGGAGAGCAGGCCCCGGCCACGGAGGACCGGGGGCCGGGCTGAGCGTGGGGGAGGAGCCAGGACGGCAGAGGTGGGTCAGAGCATGCGCGGTCCTTGCTCTCAGGGATGGGGCTCTGGCGGTTCTTAGATGGGCGCGAGGCGGGTGCCGTTAGCACTCCCGTGTCACTGAGGCCCGCAGCGTTTACGGATGTTTGAGGCACTTGTGTATGTGGACAAGTGCGTGTGTGTGCGTGCCAAGTCGCTTCAGTCGCTTCCGACTCTTTGCGATCCTATGGGCTGTAAGCCGCCAGGCTCCTCTGTCCATGGGATTCTCCAGGCAAGAATACCGGGATGGATTGCCATTTCCTTCTCTAGGGGATCTTCCCAACCCAGGGATCGAACCCGTATCTCTCATGTCTCCTGCACTGGTGGTTGGGTTCTTCACCACCAGTGCCACCTGGGAAGCCCTCATACAAGCATAAGCTACTGCTATTTTAAAACGCTGTCAGCAAGTCATTTCTACCTTTCCACATTCCGTTCCCTTCACATTCTGACTCTTTCAGCAAGACTCGCCCGCTGAGGGTGCCCTGGCGCTGATCCTTCCTTGCCTCAAACTGTAAACGTTGAGGCAGATAGAGAACTTTCTACTGTCTGCTTCAGCCTCTCTCTCGGGTTGCTGAAGGCACTGGCTTCTTCGCTCCTCCTCATTTCCCACCACAGTCAGGGCAGGACTGAGCTCCTTGCTAAGTGCAGTGTCAAACTAGGACATCACTGGCGCTGAGAGCCTGAGGCCAAGCTTGACCCAGAGGAGTGAGCCAGATTCAGGTCAGAGTGGGGTCCACCCAGACCTCTGGGGTCCTGAGTAAATACAGGAGGGAGCTAGGAGCATCCCAGCACAGAGGAAGTGATGCTGGAGGTCTCCTTAGAAGAGTGGACACCTGCATGTGATGAGGCGCTGGTCCCCGCTGCGTGAATCTGGGAGAGCCTCTGTGTCTCTCCTGGGTGGGGACGGGGTAGGGGAGGTTCGGACTTGAAAAGAGACATCACCATCGTCACCGGCGGCCGCCTCCAGGCCAGCCAGCACGTCCCCTCCTGAGGGTCTGGTGTGTGCTGACCCTTTCAGGAACCTTGGTTCTGAGGGACCTCAGCATTCCGTGGGTATCAGGATCTTTGGGGGGCAAGCGTGTGGGTCACATGATGTTTTTACTTCAAGCTGCAGGACGGGGAGCAGACAGAATGAGTTGAGGGAAAATGAAGCGTGGGAAGGTGGCAGCCTAAACTTGACTCCACCCGGGGAAAGGGGTCCTCCAGGGAACCCTGAACTGACCCCCGGGGGAATCTCAGCTCTGCATCACCTGGCTTCTCAGCAGAGGCTGCCATTCCTCCCGAAGTTCGGTTCTGCAGACTTGTATTTTACAGAATAATGGATCTGGATCTCAAATTCTTCCTTTCTGTAACATAAAACATCATGTTGTTATACTTTGAGGATAAATATTATGTTTATTCAACTGTTTGAAAAGATATGTATGTACATGTGTGTGCGTGGGTGCTAAGTTGCTTTGATCGTATCCGACTGTCTGCGACCCCATGGACTGTAGCCCGCCAGGCTCCTCCGTCCATGGGATCCTCCAGGCAAGAGTACTGGAGTGGGTTGCCGTGTCCAGAGGGTCTTCCTGATCCAGGGATCAGACCCGCGCCTGTTGCATCTCCTGCCTTGGCGTGTGCGCGCACGCGCGCACACACACACACACACACACACACACACACACACACTCAGAACAGCGCCACCGCTGGCGGGGGCAGATAACTACTGAAAGGGACCAAGGCAGGTCTTGAGCTGTAATTTTTGTTTCTCGATCCAGGAGGTGGTTATGTAATGTGTGCACATTGTGAGGTGGTTATGTAATGTGTGCACTTTGTGAAATTCACGGCGCTGTACATTTATGGCTTGTGCATTCTCTGCATATGGTTATATTTCAACTAAAGTCAGTAAAGAAAAAGGAGAAAGGTGAATTTACTCAGATATTTGCTTACTCACATTTCTTCATTTTTCACAATAAAACTACAAATTAGAAGAGAAAAAAGGAGGCAGTTGATGTGTGAATCCAAAAGAAAACAGAGAAGGGGGGGAGACAAATCAGCGTTTTTACTGAAAGCAACAAAATCAAGACACAAAAGGAAAGTAGTGACTACATCCCCAGTCACTATTGTGATGAAATTAAGTTTTTGCAATTAGAGCTGGAAATGTCTTACTCTCATTATGTTTAGTATATAGGCCGTGAAATCACCCTTCCAGGACACAGGATAAATTGGAATTATTTTTAGTTCTTATAAGGGCTCCAACTTCAAACAAAATGTCAAGTTTAATGATTCCTCCAACTGCTAAGCTAGAAATCAATTTTTAAAACTCATTTATGGTGCCACAGCTAGGTCACCAGTAGACAGTCTGTATTTTCACAAGAAATTGCAGCTACCAGCTATGAGAGCTCTGATTTTCTTTACAAATTGTACTAGTATTTTTCCAGGAGAAAAATGATAACTGCATCTATTAGATGGGGGGGGGGGGGAACTCTTCTTAGGAATAAATTGAGAAATTACAGTGTAAGTAACTTCATGAATTAAAATTGATTCTCCTGGACAAAAGAAAATTAAAACTGGATCCCTACCAGACTGTACACAAGAAGGTGGACTTAGGTAAAGAAAAACCCCAATGTGAGAGGTGAAACTGTTGGGTAGTTAGAATAGGGAAAACGAGTCCAGAATGGTCGTGGCTAAAAGACCTGGAAGGTAAAAGCCCTCGAAAATAGAACAAAGGAAGGTCCTCGGACGGAAAGTCCGAGGACCGGAGTGAGAACCTCAGGTAAAACAAACAAAACTCCTGGCTGGCCCAATTTACATAGGACAGGCCCAGGGACAGAGAAACATATCAAAAGAGGAGCCAAAGCTCTCTTCTCTCTCTCTCCTGTGAGATGGGGAGCTCTTCTCTTCGCATCTTTGGATCGATGTGCCCTCATGCCTCGAAGATGGATTTTCCTGGTATTATCTAAATAAAATAGAGCTGTAACACTGATTTATTTAAGAGCTATAACACGATCCAGTCGAGATCTGAGAGCTATAACACGGTCTGTCCAAGACACGAGAGCTGTGACCCACCGAGGGGGCTTTAATGTCCGTCACTCCAAATTTTTGTTGTGACGAGTCAAAGAACTGAAGAGCATACACTCGCCTAACAAAACTATAATGTTCATGGTAGAAAATTCAGATGAATGTCTCTGTGACCTTGAAAGTAGGGAAGGACTTGTTAAATGAAACTTCTAAATAAAAAACTATGAGGCATGATAAAAAGAAATTACATATAAATTAAAAATAAAATACAGGAAAAATAGGAGGAATAGACAGCAGGGATGGAGGAAGATAGCGTAATGTCCAAAACTGACAAACAATTAAAAAGCATTCTTGCACCAACTAGAAAAAGATGAAAACACAAAGATGGGTAGAGTTTTAGGCTAATTTATAGAAAGGAAATCTAAAGAGACATGAAGCAAATAAAGAAACATTCTTGCCACAGCTCTTCAGATAAACAAATTAAAACATCGTGATATCATCTCATACCCATTTGACTGGCACAAGCTGGAGACTTGGAGGTGCCAAGTTTTGACTGGCCCATGGCAATGTAGGGCCCCCTGCAGCCCTGGTGGATTCGGGGCTGGGGGTCACCTGGCATCGCTTGGTCAAGCGGGGTCTGCACACCCTGTGAGCCAGCCGTGGCACTCCTGAGTGTACCCTCTGGAAAGCGGGGTGCCTGGTCCCACTCATCCCTCTGCAG